GAAGACGAGTACATTTGCCAAACCCACTAGCACTGACGGACTGAAATCCCATGACAAGTCTACCCGCCAATCGCACCACGCGGGAGAATGGTCATGACGAGTATACTCGTCATACCCAATTAACAGATTAAAAGACACCCTGTAGCACAAGCGATCAGAAGGGCTCCAAAAATGCTGCGCTTATACAGCCATCCTGAGAAGTAGTTAGCTCACCTTTAGCTTCATATGGAACAGTGGAATTTAATTACATATGTAGCCAAAAGTTAAAATTTGAAAACAGGAGACAGAACTTCGAGTAGCATTTTTATTATTGTGTAAAAACTCGGAAAGACATCACCTCAGGCCTGAGGTAAGCTTGAGGAGGGCCTTCAAGAAGCATGGAATCCATGGTAGGCGCCATCCTGTTAATTCAGGGGTATCCGGATAAGATATCTGCATATCCCACCACGTCGATCAATAACTGCTTACCACCGCTTCATTCTCAACTCACCTCATGAACTCAGCACAAAAATGTCTCATAGATAAAAAAAAAGAAAAACAGAAGACCCAGGAGCCAATACGAAGGTTGAAACAGTCTTGAATCTGGCATAATTTCGGCACGGTATCCGGCAACACTGGGGGACGGTACCAGAGCAAGCACTCTAAGTCTAATTGAACGACAGCTAATTTCTATATATATGTAGCAGGAGGCAATTGTTTGTGAGGCAGTTTTTTGGTGAGAGTGGATGGAGCAGCAGTGGGGCTTTCACAATCATGGAGAGAAGGGAATTCGGAGGAGATAGCTACCACAGAAGGCCCGATAGAAACCACCCCGGATGTCACAAACATAACGGGGCCACTATCCACCAATATCTACACCATAAATCTAGCCGCAAATTTGACCGACCCCTCGATATACGTCAAGGAACTGCCTCCTCCGAAATATCAGCCCGAGATCAACATTACTACAAGCATAACACTTCATCACATCGAATCAATCTCTGCTCAATCATCCGTGAGTCAATCCGTTCCTATTTCCAATGAATGATGAGTTGGTGCGCTTGGTGCCAAAAAATAGGGATGTGAAGTAATGTGAAAACCAATTTTCAATTGCTTTCACTTTCTTCAATGTCCCCCCCCCCCCCGCCTCTCATGCCCCCCTAGATTTGAGTTAAGAGCTGAATGCCACGGTCAACCCGGTTATTCACACTTAGAACCAGAAGCTCTGTAGAACTCCAACTCATGCACATTGCAATCCGGTTAGCGTCCGGATAAGTATAGTTCATGAACCTTTTCAGAGTGGACGTGTAACGTTAGACCGATTGGAGGCCTGTTTCGCGTTTCATGAACCATTTCAGCGGGCCGCGGAACGTTCGGCCTATCTGGAGTTCCTCGAACCATCTCGAATAGATCTGAGGAGAGAATACCTTCAAGAAGCATGAAATTCATGGTACGCGCCATCCTGTTAATTCAGGGGTATCCGGATAAGGTGGGATATCTACATATCCCATCACATCGGTCAATAACAGCTAACCACAGCTTCATCCTCAACTCACCTCCTGAACTCAGCACAAAAATGTCTCATACATTAAAAAACAGAAGATGCAGATGCCAATACGAAGGTTGAAACGGTCTTGAATCTGGCATAATTTCGGCACGGTATCCGGGAACACTGGGGGACGGTACCGGAGCAAGCACTCTAAGCCTAATTGAACGACAGCTAATTTCATTTTTTATGGCAAAATGGGGCACTGGAAGCAACAAAAAGGACACTTTTTGTCACTTAAAGGTCAATATATTTCGTTTGGTTGGTCTCTTTCCTTCCGAAAACCCCCCAGGAGTGGCTACCTAGGGGGGGAAAGGAAAAAAAGGAATGAAATTCACATCCTCCAAGAACGAGATTCAGTGTTCTCCACAACTCCGCGGAGATGGAGCTTCAAATTTGCTGGAGCGATTCTGTGGTGAGAGAGGAAGAAATAAGCCAAATTTAGTTCCTATTGATGCTCTCAGAGAGGAATACGAGGAAGTTGAATTTTGCTGCAGGAAGGTGTTGAAGAAAGATAATAGGCGCTACCTCCCCTATTGATACAGGTTGCCCCAGCTTTATTCGACCAATTTGTCAATTCAGAATATAATACGCTTTTTACTACTTTTCTCCAGAAATTTTCATGCTTCATCTCGTAACATCGATTTTTGGGAATCGCTCTACATCTCAATTTCTACGTTGCCAGAGCTTTACGGAGCGCAAAGATTCCCAATTTCTCCCATTCTTCTTTGAAATTCTAAAAGTCCACCCTAAATGTTGCGGTGCTGATTCACCAGGGCACGCTTCAGCAACCTAAACGCACAGTTATCCAAACCCTGTTTGGATAATAAAAAAATAGTAAAAATTGCGTTCGGCAGTAAATAGACAGGTTCTCTCCATAAACGGGAAGATGCCACCAAGTTTCATAGAGCGTCATAATATACATTTTACGTTTCACCAGCCATGTGGCGCTCGCAGAATTTTCAGCTATTCGTATTTTCTCTCCCTGATGTGTCTTAGGCTGAGGACATGGACTTTCATTTTGTGTTTTCCTTACATTTTGAGGTCCTCATGAATGACCCTGCCGATAGTTCCCTTGGACACCGGCAGTCTACATGCAAGTTATGTCTTGCTGGGTGGATTTTCCGTTTTCGCGAAATGAATCACTTCCGACAAAAGCTTCTCGTTGCCTAATGGTCTTGGGTTAGGCTTTATGTCTGAAATTCACCCCTCTCCATTGAAAAGTATGCTTGAGATTGTTCCTTTGGAAACACACCACCCTTTCAAAAAACACGAATTATCATTTTGCGTGAGTAACCTTTCATGAATAGGTGTTTCGTGCGCATCTCTTCTACGCAATCAACAGGCATCATTAAGTGTCAACGCAATATCCCCTTATTTCACATAGCAAAGGTTGAGTTCTTCCCCAAGAACCACACGTCACATGAAAGCTATTTATCCTTTCCCATATGAGTAAATGCATTTTGAAAATGGTCAAATAAAGTTGGGCAGCCTTCCGTATTGCGTAATCATGAGAAATAAAGAAAATTTGATTAACTCCGCTGAGGAGTAACCAATCACTCCTGAGGAGGAGGGGTTAAAGGAGGCAATCCAACCAAAAGAAAGATGTTGACTTATAGGTAACAAAGAGTGCCCTTTTTGTTGCTTGTAACGAACCATTTCGCCATGAAAAATGAAATCAGCTGTCTTTTATTTTGACTTAGCGCGTGGGCTGGAGTCCCGTCCTCCAGGATTGCCGAATGTTATGCTGGAGTTATGTAGAGTTAATGACCGCTTTGGCTTTCGTATCGGTGTCTGGATCTTCAGTTTTGTCTTCTTTTTTTTAATTTGTGAGACATTTTTGTGCTGAGTTCATGAGATAAGCTGAGATTGAAACGGTGATTGGCAGTGGCCTATCCATGTGGTGGAATATTGAGATAACTTTCACGGACATCCCTGAATTGGCAGGATGGCGCCTACCATGCATTTCAATCCCGGAGCATTCTCTCCCCAGACTGTGGAGATGGTTCGAGGAACTCTAGATAAGCCTAACGTTGCACGTCCACTCTGAAATGTTCATGAAAGTCTGAATAGGACTGCGATCGGCCTGACGTTACATGAGCTCAACAAGATGTCTCGAAGACCCTTATAGGCCTAAGTCGAGTATTGAGATTCTTTTGAACGAAAGAAGATTGGCCTATGCCTGACCTGGAGACAGTCCGTCGGTTAGACCTAGGCCCAACGTTAGTGAGTCCCGTAGAGAAAGGTTGGAGGGGGAGGGTGGTAGAAAGGGAAAGCCATTTGAAAAGAAATTTACATTACTTCATTACATCGAGTACTGTACATGTAGGGTTCCGGTCGGCTCGACTGATCACTGAATTGCTGAAGTTTTTACTCTGATCAGTCGGTCTGCTGGACTTTCATCCGACCTTTATGACATTTAAGAATGTCCGGGCTTGACTTGTGCCGTGGCTGTCTGTCTTGCTGGCCTTACGCGTTTCCTTTTTTATTCCGCGGCATTGCTTTACCTTGCGTGTCATTGTAAGGATTAAGAACTTTGTCATCATACAGTCTCTATTGCTTTGTCGAGTCATGTTTAGCTGCCTTCTCTTGCCAGTGATTTCCTCAAGGAATCGGATTTGAATGATCCTCTATCTTTACGACTTCCCCCTTGGCCTTTACTTGCTAAATTTAAACTCCATCTAAATTCAGGGATATCACATAGATGTCGATCTTTTGCTCGTGGAGCTGAAAGAGACTCTCCCCAAACACTAATGACCGCTGGTTGATAGTTTTCAAGCGAGAGGAGCTTACCTCCCCTTTATGATTTGGCCCTGCAAATAGTGGAGTAAGTCTTTTGCCACGTACACAGCAAAGCAGAAACGTACAGTCGGGTACACATTTTGTACGTTATGAGGTACAAACGTATGTCGTAAAATACGTTCGTTGAAAAGGTACAGAAGGTACACATGTGTACCTTTCTTATCTCTAGGTTCACACTTCTCTGTTCCCGTACAAAACCCCAGCATTTAAAATTTTCCAGAATCATTGATTGCCATTGAAACATGATGTTTATACTTTTACTAAATACTCATTTACAAGTATTACGATAAGATAAATACAGGGAAAGGAAGAAAACTCTTCTCCTAAGGTCTGGTGACTCCTGACTCGAGTTCGAAAGTTTGAGGGAGCATAAACGCCATCTTATGCCTACTTTGAGTACTGCACTGAGAACCCGGACATCTGCATCAGCAACGTACACACGTGTACGTCTGGACCACACATGCAGACCCGAGGGACACAATATGTACCTCTCACATTTGTACCTCTCCTTGTACGTTTCTACTTTGCTGTGTACAAGAGCTTTTTGGAACGTATCTTTCTCGGAAACACTACAGCTTCATTGCGCACCATCCCTGTGGCTCTGAGTGCATGGCTACGTCATCATTTGACACTGATATCCCTTTGAACGAAATAGGATTTCTCGGTGTACGTCATGCTTCGACACGTGTGGCAAGACAAGAGACTGAATTTCGAGAAAAAGAACACGTCGTACCTTGAGGACGAATATCTATCAGGGAGCGAATGGCTCTACAACCTCATCTGGTCCCCGACTCTCTTTTTCGCGAATGAAAAGGATTCGAATGTCTTCCAACTCAGCAAGAGGAACGTCTTCGTCGCCATCTCCAAGAATGGCACGGTCACGCTAACCTACAGGCGAGTTAGATCCTGCTTTACAAGTGTTTTGCGGGTAAGTGAGTTATCGCCGAAAGTCGGTTCATCAAACTAACCAGATGGCGAAAAACAATGATAAAGAAAGTGACAGGAGGCAACATGCATTAGTGTCAAAGAAAACGCTTTTGGTGTACAGTCGTCCCTCGCCACTTCGCGCTTCGACTTTCGCGGCTTTCACTCTATCGCGGTTTTTTCAAATATATTCATTAAAAAGTTGATCGAGACAGTGAAAATGATACAGGGCGCGCTCGGTTGTCTGAGTCAATTATACACCCCTGTATTACAATTAAAATAAAAATTATTAAAACCCGTATTTAGAAGGTCGTAAACAGGTTTTCTATGCTCTAACTACGAAAATATTCGATTTATAAATAAAGAATCCTACTTCGCGGAAATTCACTTATCGCGGTAGAGTCTGGAACTGATTAACCGCGATAAACGAGGGCCGAATGTAAAGGCTGTTTAGTAAAACGTATTTTGCGTGTGACGCTGGAGATTTACTGTGTTGCACATTGATGGCCCCCTCTCTCTTCCTTCCATAGCTTAAACTATAGGGACAAGAAAAAATTCTTAGAAAGAGCTGTCATTTCCAAATCGAATCTTTAGTAATTTGTGAGCACCCTCTCCCCCTTCCTCCCTCCCATTTGCGTCTCTGAGAGCTTCAAGACGAGCGAGGTAAGGCACATTCACTGCCTGAGACGTCGACTGATGCCTTCACGGAGCGTGACTTGCCAGTGCCAATCACGTCGATACACGTCTTCATTCATCCTTCAACTTAATTGTCAATAACTCAAATATTGGGTTTGTGGGAAAGTTCTGTCGTTTTTGCTTATGTACAATTGTACTTATCATCCAAATAAGAAATTGAACAATTTATTCTGGAGAATCGCCGCATTACCGTCCAAGATTTTGAAGCGGAACTTAACATCAACATTGAGAGTGTCGAAAACATTATCCACTCTTACTTTAAGTTCAAAGAGGTTACTGCGAGATGGGTGTCAAGAGAACTGATATTCGACCAGAAGGTTAACCGAGTGACCGCCGCGTCAGACCGTCTCAACCGCTACGACGAAGAGAAGGGCAACGTCCTCAGCAGCATTTTGACGAGGGATGAAACGTGGATTCATAACGCCATTATGAAACGCCCAAGCATGCAATGGCGGCATTCCGCATCGCCTCGGTCGAAGAAATTCAGAGTGATGAAATGGTGAAGTGGCTGCGCACTCGACCACAAACATTCAAATGCCTCTGGCATTGAGGCGTTGCCATATCGATGTGACGAGTACGTCCGTGTAGGAGGGGAACACCTCGAGGAGGAGTAGTTTTATAGAGATCATATGTACCATCGATTTCTGGAATGAAAAGTGCAGTTAAGTACTGAACCACCCTCGTATATATAAATTTCTTTCGGTGGGTTGTGTTATGAGTATGCATTAAGGTTATTTTTTCGATTTGATAGGGAAAAATCATAATCGACTGAAAATATCATGTCCTCTTGCAAATATAATTAATTTTATGGTTATTTTCTTCATTGAATGTCTATAGAGCGAAGGTGAGGTTTTCATGCTTGATGGACCTGAAGAGATTCCCGTTCGATGAACAGACTTGCAACATGACAATAGCATCGTGGGACATTCCCATTCCCAAGGGGAGGCTGAAATGGGAGAATCCCGTGGATTGCATCGCCCGAGAGGAGGATTTGATTGCTTCCGAACAAACCTTCTTCAGCCACGAATGTTTGGAGGAAGAGTTCCGGGACATCCATGGCATCACTGGTAACAGTTGTTTAATCCTCACTTTCCTCTTTCTCTGGGAAACTAATACCCCAGCGTAAACCCATGAAGCAGTTTAACGATTTCAAATAGCCAATAGTTAACACAATCGGGAAGACAAGAACCTATCCATTCAATTATGTCTATTTCTGTATCCGATTGTTCTCTTATTTATTGGATGTCCTTCATATAAAGAAAGTATTAAAAAGAAAACCTTACCACAAGGGGAACTGTACTCATGGCAGGAAAAAAATTTAGTGCCATCATAGTGAGATTCAAGATCAAGAGGGACCCTGGACATTACATCCTGGATTATTATGTACCCTCCATCTTCCTGGTCGTCGTGTCATGGGTCTCCTTCTGGTTGGATCCCAATGCTGCTCCTGCCCGCGTCGCTCTCGGTCGGTCTGGAACTAAATAAAGTCAATTCTCCATCTAACTTCCTCCGAAGGAGAAAGAGCCATCTTTACTCTTTATTTTGCTTTTACGTTGCAACAGGAACATGCACGATGCTGACCTTCATCACCCTGTCAAGGAATATAGGCGACGAACTGCCTAAACTGTCATATTTGAGGGCCGTGGAAATCTGGTTCTTTGTCTGCATCGCCTTCATCTTCCTTACCCTCGTCGAATTCGCTTTTGCCAACATTATCTCTCGCAGAGGGTATGTCTTCCTAGATCTGTATTTATATATTAGTCGGATAAACAAAAAGAGGAAGGATATCACGGAGGCACATATGCATTTATCACGAGCTTCCATCGGGATGGATCAGGGAAGAGAGGAGGCCGAACGCACTATCAAGATCATATCATAATGTGAACCGGTGAAGAACGAGGCATACACTAGGACATCCACGCACACGCGAAGATTTAGAGAAAATAACAGCGACCAAAAGAAAGGGGAGCACGTCGCGTTTATTGGGCTGTTGGGAGGGAACCCATAGTACCATTTCCATGGACACGCCCAGTAGGAAAGATGTTACTTGGGATGCTCCCAACGCGCCTCATTGATTCATGGAGGATGGAGGCGACTTTTAGACATTTAGAGGCTGCGCTTTCGCGAATAAGGGTCACTAGAGTCAATTTAATCCCTTCAAGGGTTTTCTTCGATTTCATTTGACTAGCAGTTACATTTGATGTTCCTGGACAATTTACATAAGCCAAACGCAGCAAACCTTCGAGGTGAACGAAGGAATTGGCAAGCCTCATGGCATACGCATGTGGATTCTTACATAAGTGGTCCAAAATGCAAAAATTCCAGTCTATCTCATAGAACTGTGGTCGCTAAATGCTTCTATTCCATTTCAATCCCCAAAATATTAAACCAATATAATTTAGAATAAATAAAATCACCTATCCTCAAAATAGAACAGAGGCAGTGCCACTGAGAAAGGTGACAAGCAGGAACATGCTGATGTACGGGCTCAGTCCCAGGTTGACTCGTTTTCAGCCAGGCCGGAGAAAAGAGCGGACCAAGTCTGACGGAAACCTGGATGTCCCCCGCAATGACGTGAGTTTCAATTCCGTCCCATTCATCTATTAAGCAGTCTGTTGATAGCGCTATATATTGGATCGACTATACGTTTACGTTAGAGGAATTTTATTAAGGAGGCATGCAGTATTAGGTCACTTTTAAAAATCGCCATAGATCAGTATGAAATTGACCAGTTGATTGGTTGCTCCGGACAGGTCCGGCGCGGGAAAATGCGGGGCCCCCTACGGCCAATACGTTGAGCCACCTCTGGGTTCCGAAGATTTGCCCCTCACTTCATTTTCGATTATTGAAGTTATATTAGGAAAAAAAATGAAAATCACTACATTATAATTAAGTAAGGAAAGGAGAGGAATTTGTGTAGTTTGTCAAAAGATTTAGCGTTCGTATTCTCGAAACCTTTGCCACCAACTCATCAATCACTTTCTTGTAATTCAATTACCCGCTGACCTCCCACTTGATAGAGAGGGCTAGTCCTGTTAGGCGTTCTTGTGACATGCTTCATCTTAAATAAGTTATAAATTGTTTCAGTTTGGAGAAGCTTCTTTCTGGAGATGCAACTCTCACTGGAGCTGTGAGTAGCACTCCAAGAGAGATAGACACGTTAGGATACACGGGCTTGACTACTCTTATGAATGAATTGTGGAGTTCCAAGAGCATCAAGTGGTAGAAGCTGGTGGAAGGATAGCCAGACTGCGTAGATCATCGACAAGGTCGTTAAGCTGTTGAGGTTAACCTTGGCAAAAGGTGCCTAAACCTTGCACGGGTACCATCGATGATTAGGGTTGCCACCCGTTCATAATTAGTACTGATAGTACATATTTCAGACGTTCCGTAGATACTGCAAACTGGTCTTAATATGGACACTTGTCCATATAATAAACTTTCAAGATTTTTTTAATTAATAAAGCTTAATAGCAGCAAAAATTACTCTTTTCGTTAGTTAAAGGCAGTGAGCCACACTCTCACAGCATCGATTGGCGCCTTGGCTTAAGGTGTCTCTAGGGGGTATTTGCGCATAGCCGCATACGCAAGTATACTTCGAATATTTGTGCATATCTCCATATGCCCTCGTTTTGTTGAATGTGGCAACCCCATCAATGACTCAGTAATGAATACACAAGACATTTCACAACATGATTAAGGGAAACGAGCGAGGGTATGGGATGAAAACGAGGTAGACCCATCTACGCTGACGTCTTTCTCACCTCGAGGGCCTTCAAGTGCGAGGATTTCACGCAGGGAGGATGGAGGGATTAAAATATAAAAAATAATAATTTTCGTGCATTGGGGCGGTGACGGATTTCGCCCAGCTCGGCCCTCCCGCCTGTCCAGAATAAGAAGACCTAGGAATATTCTCTATCTCATGCAGAGCTTGGATCTCTTTCGGAATAACTCGCCGCGTTTCAAAGATTTTTCTCTTTTTCTTTCATTCTTCTATCTTATTTCGAATTATCATTGCCTCTTTCAAAAAATTTAAATGAAACACAGCTGGAATATTCAACGGCCATATTTCGAATCAATAATATTGCGTGCGCCTCGCCATTCCCCCACCCCGCCCCGCCCCCTCCCTTAAACCAATCCTAGAATTACCCTATATACCAAAATACGGGTTTGGTTATATAACATTTAAATGGGACAATTTGTACGAATTCAAAACTTCCGTGTATTAAATGAAGGAAGATGCTTCCCATTCCCATAATCTCAAATTTCCCTCTTTAGTCCCGGAGTTTTAACTCTATTGGACTAACGAATCGGCCCGGCAGCTCAGTCTGGAATCAAGTTTTCTGCTAGATGCAGGAGAATACGCTATCAGAAGAATTATTTGCGAAAAAAGGGCACCTTGTTCCATCAGCGCTCGAAGCGATCACGTCATTAAATGACGTCACCCTCGGGCAAGCAGCAGGCAGCGAAACGCAGTGAACTATGAAAACACGACAGGCTCACACGAACGTGACGTCATGGGAAAACTGGATGGTTCAGCAGCGCCGCTTAGATAGAGGACGAAACCAGAGACCCCAAGTTCCGAAGCAAAAGCGGTCCGGACCGATCGGTCCGACACGATACGCGAGTCGGACTCAAAAAGTTTGTTCGGCGTTTGAGCTCCGGATTCGAATCGGCCCAATCGGGTCAGGTCGGGTCCGGGAAAGTCGACTCGTGCAGGCCTCCGGCAGACAGGAGTACATCGGCTATTGTCCATCCATCCATACTATATTAGAATACGCTAAGGAGATTCATGGTAGATGTAGCCTCTGGCCTACAGAGCTTTTGCCCTTTCAAGGACATAGGTCACGTACCCCCTAGGCCTACATGCCTTTCCTTTTCCGAATCATGGGCTTGGTAGCTGATTGGCCTACGAGCCTTTTCCTTCCCATGTTATAGGCAAGGCGCGTTTCGTGATTCCTCCATGCTACTGATTTTGCCTACAAGTCTGCGCCTGTGCCTTTGCAGGACCTTAGTTGGTTGGGGTGTGTTAAACAGCTCAATATAATGTGATGTGATGCGCCCGCGTAAGAGAAGCGGTGAGGCTGCGTAGGTCTTCATTGACCAATGAGCAAATTGAAGATATCAATGATGAGGGGAGAGGTGCATTAATTGCAGAACAACATCAGGCTGTTAACGCTGCGTGGTGAGCAGCGCGTGTACGCGGCGAACCTTTAACCCTACTCGAGTTGCGTTGGTTAGGAAGTCCGTCATTCCAGCCGTTTCACATAATCCCGACCCTATGCATGTTGAAAGCTTTGTTGGGCACTGCCTGGCAATTCATTTCGAAACGGAGAAAGGTAAACTTCGGCAAGGTTGTTATGATCATGTTACGGTATTCTATTCGAATCCATTGGAGTTTCCACTGATGGGGAAGATGAAAACGCTCGCAATTTTCGTGAGTTTAATAGAAAGTACAACAGCACGAACGCGTCCGCTTCCTTTCGGTGCAACAATTGTTGACGTCGATAATGTTCCTTACTGCTTCTAAAAATCCGGTGTAGTCTACTGGGCTCTGGGTCTACATGAGCTCATCGTGGGTTTACCAGGCGATTATATTGCAGATAATCAGGTAAACGAGCTGTTTGGGCGACGACATAGGTTCTGCGATGCTGAAGTGAGAAGCAAACTCGCTTATTCTGTGATTCATTATTCTCAATTGAATAAGCACTCCAGTTTGGTCAATGAGGACGTGTCTTTCCGATTAGAAGGCGAATCGTGCTCACCGCACAGTACCAAAATTGTGAAGAACGATTATGGTGGTGATGACACCGATCGGCAGGCCACCTTTCCGTTTGAATTCTTCAACAATCTCAATACTCAGGGTCTCTTCCCGCACGCCCCAGTCCTAAAAATGGGATATATCCTGATGCGTGTACGGAATCGCATGATTGGAAACGACCTTTGTAACGACACACCTATGATCGTGAGAGACCTGACTGCAAATGTCTTAATACTAGGGGAGTTTAAATGAAAAAAGGGCAATGGCCGGCAATGGCTGTTATTCTTAGTTTAAAAGAGGGGACTAAAAGTCTCCGTATCATTCGTACACCCATAGTAGTTGAGGCGATCACGGGTGCGCTTCGTGGCTGCGTTCACTTGCTGTCTAGAGTTTTACTGGACACGTCAACCCAAGTCACATACCGTTCCCTCTTTGCCAACGTCAATTCCCTATCGACCTTACCTACGGTATGACTATAAACAAATTTCAGGGACAGACATTTGATCAAGTCGGATAACTACTTACTGAGCCAGTATCCATGCATGGCATTTGTACGTTGCCTGCTCAAGAGTTCGGTCAGAGTATTCGTAGAAGATTCAGGTTATCGAATGACCAAAGCAGGGGAAAACTGATGCTGTCACCGTTACGGACGATGCAGTCCTTAAAGAAGCACTTCTTTTGTTTGTCAAGTCCGTTCGTCGGGACTATTTTTGTACATTATGATATAAACTTTCCGCTTCGTTCCCAAGTGTGTCCCGTTTCTTGATATTTCATGGTTCCTTCAATTTTTATTTACTTTACTCATGTTGAACTAATTTTGGTTGTAATTTTCGCATATTGGCAGATGTAGCACGCTGTGCCTCAGCATATCTTTCGTGCATATATGTTCCACCATGAACTGTATATCAAAGTTTGGCAGCGGGAACCAGGCTAAGACTATTCTTAGTTGGTGAGCTGTGACAAAAGAGTATATGTACGGGAGAAGGCCGCTAGTTATATAGATTCCTCCTGGGGCTGGGGCCCACTGCGGCCGCAGTGTTACTCGCGCCGGACCTGGTCCAAATTCCTTCATTCGCCGTCCATAGGTTGAGTTTGACCCAAAACCATCAAATATGGAATTTGGTCTTACCCGATCTGAGGTTCGAAAGTTGTGGCCTTTAACATTTTCACGGAAAGGAAATTCTTATTCAGTAGAACCCATTTGATTCTATAACTTCTTTATTTACTGCTCGATTTTATTAAGCCAAAATCCGTTTCAATATGAAGAAAAACGATGAAAAGATTTTATTTCCCGTATTAATCAATCTATTCCTATTTCTTCTAGAAGCTATTAAAGTTTAACCTTTCGAGCATGACCTTGATGGGAATTTTGAGTAGCAAAACTTTATCTAAACTAATGTCGTCTGGATTAGTATGGCAGGTTTCAGAGATGCAGTATCTTTAGTTTCGCTATATGCCAGAACATACGATACGACTTTTATGACTGGTTATCTCAAAATACCTTGTCCTTCAACGACTGCCCAGAATTGAAAATTGTTTCTTCCGAATCTCTTGTCCAATTGACGCAGATCTATCACAGAAAGTTCTCAGAAAGAATATTCCCAACTTTGCTTTATGAATATTTAAAAATGAAATTTTTAAGTGAGAACGTTCTGAAAGTAGGATAATTAAATATACACATTGGCTCAATAAAATCGGGGAACTTTTTAAACTCCTTTACTTTTCAAACGAATGCGTGGGTTTCCATTAAGCATTTAATATCATGCACTTCTATATACCATTCTTGTTATTGAAAAAAGCTCGTTGAAACTATTTGAGAGATCCTGGAAATACACCCATTCATTTTCTTTAATAAAATTGCTTGCACTTGTATGATCAAATAAAATTAGGTTACTGAATACCGTCCGAACATCGCCACTTCAACAAACTTTCATATGACTTTGAAGAATTTTTCAACTTCCAAACCTACAATGATGCAAATCAAACCGTATACCTTTAAGTCAAGGCGTTCAAAAACTATTCCTTGGGCAGGCGAAATTGGCACACGGCCGATTCCGCTTGTGATGGCTTCATCAGCCCAGCCAACAGATTTTATGACCGAGAATTTGCAAATCCTTTCATCTCTCGACTACCTTGACAAATTGAAACGAGTTTAGCAGGTTTTTTTTTCATGGTATTGAAATTTTCTTAACATCCATGCAATCTTTTAAAAGCCATAAGAGTTTATTATTGCACCCTAGTTCATTGGGCCACCGTGTACAAGAAAAGGAAGGTATGATGAGAGTTCAGTCTACTTGTAGCATATGGAACCTGTAAGTGAATGAAGGGGAAGATCTTGAATTAATGTCTTTTTTTTTAAACTGCTGTGTCACACAAAAGTCACTTGACAAATGAGAAAAAACCCCTTTACCTAAAATCTTTATTTTTGAACTAGCGAAGATGCTCAATGTGTTCTCCTTGAACCACAATGCAGTGCTCCAAACGATTCTTTAGTTCATTTCTGACGGCGGCTAGTGTTGCTGGTGTGATTTTCTGAAGAACATGAGTGATGCGGTCTTTAAGGTCTTTGAGGGGGTGCAGGTTCCCTCATAAACACATGCTGTTTAACATAGCCCCAGGGGAAGAAATCCGGGGGAATGAGGTCAGGTGATCGAGGGGGCCATGACACAGATCCACCCCGTCCAATCCACTGATTACCAAGCAGGTTATTCAATTTCTGACGGATCGTGAGAGCAAAGTGGGACGTGGCACCGTCCAATTGGAACCACATTTTGCTCCGTGTATTCAGTGGCAAATCATGAAGAAAATCAGCTACAGTTCTGTCCAACACTTGCCCAAATGTGTGTTGGTCCACATGCTCTTCGAAGAAGTGTGGTCCCACAACCATGTCACCAAGCAGACCACACCACACCATCACCTTCTCTGCACCAAGTTTGTTAGATTTGCGCATCCAAGCTGGGTTAGTCTGGGACCAGTAACGCGCATTCTGTGTGTGAACATGACCATCCAAGAAGAAGAAGAGACATTCATCAGTAAACATCACATTTTGCAAAAAGTCGGGGTCGCAAAATTTTAGACAAAGTTTTTTTCTCATTTGTCGAGTGGCTTTTGTGTCACACTGTATTTTGACCAGTCTTCGTGTTACGCATGGAGTCTTTTCATGTTCGATACGTTTGCAATGAACTGAAAATGCATACTGTAACGAGAGATCCACTACACATGCAGTATATTACCTGCGTAAGGGTGTACTCGTCAAGAATACGACGGATTGTCTGATTGAGATCTGCCCTTCCCATCTTACCGATATTCGGATGGCAACACGTGGACATTTTGATCTAACCTTCAACCTTTAATCTTTTTTATATTTCACTTTAAATCTGACTCTGATAAGAGTGTTAAAATTTAAAAAAGCCGAGAAGAAAATGATAACTTAAGAAAAAAGTAGTCGCAAAAGGGAGAGGGAACCGCCGACATTAGGAGGCTCCTACTGCATTGTGCTACAGGGTTGCCTGCCAATTGTAACTTAATCATGTCGATTTGAATCTTTCTAAAATTTTGATTTGAAAGATACTATGTATTAATACTATAGGCCCTGTGGGCCTATATGAGTTAGCTATCCCCTCCCAATTTCATTGGTAATTATTGTGTTCTAAGAGATTGCATGTGTGGGTAAACAGCTCGGCCGGGACGTGGACACTAATCAGCTGTCGGTGAACAGCTTCGAAAAAGCGTTTTTCACCGTAACCCCATCAAGCAGCATGGAGACGTTGAACATGCCAGAAGATGATTGCAAGGATATTACAATCTCAGTGCCGATCACTTCAGTTGGTGGCGATGAGTCTGCCTCTTCCAAATCCAGGCAGAGAAAGGTCAGTTACAGTTTTCATCCGGAACTATTCTTGTTATAAAGGGAACTGATGCGGTATGGATGACTTATTATAGACCTATAAGTCATCACATTTTCGGCGTATGGCGTCAGTGGCTTCTTTTAAAAAATAACTCTACGCAATGTTCTCAAAGCTTTCAGAGTGGAACGAAAAAAGGAAATTATTTACGAATCTCAATGCTTGGGATTCAATTCCTATGTTCTGATTTGTTTTTTCCTGTTTCTTCCCTTTATCCCCCTGATATGCGACTGGCATTAGAAATCAGTTCTTTTCGAGCGTTGCATGATATTTTCCTCATGGAAAACAGAAGGGAAAAGATTGGAATCCTTGGATGCATTCGACGAAAGAGGCAAGGTAAAGGCCCTGTTACACTTGGCGAGTACTCGCTAGGGCCACTCGCTTAGTGTAACACCCCTCTCGCTAGCGCTTGTTACAACTTTGGAAGATTTCAAACTTCGGGCGAGTATTCGCTAGCAAGAACCAATTAAAAGGCAACCTCTAGGCAAGATGGAGCCCCACTTCTCCCATGACAGAAGCTGTAAAGGTCAGCGCGAAGTGAATTCGGGATGTGTCCATACCTGTCGCCATTCAACGCCGAGGGCTACTGCCCTCATAGTGGGGTATGGTATTAACACATTTGCGTACCGGAACATTTTACCCCGTCGATCCGCTGCTCTGACCTAAGCCTCAGTTGCCTTAGCCTAAAGCTCGATGCCTACAAGGCCATGACTTTTGCGTCCATAGACTAGGCAAAAGGACTCGCGAAAGGACTCAAAAACGGAGATCTCCGTGAGCGGTGCGCAAAGTGTGAACAGGAAGAGAGGGGGAGGCGTAATGGACGGGTTTTTCACGATGACCTGCCTCTTGAAAAGATCTACTCTGGGGAAGCACAATTGTTTACTGCCGGACCTAAGAGATTCTAGCCTCAATCACCTTGATAGCTTTCTTCGAATGAACGAAGCAACTTTCCAGAGACTCTTTGAGAAGGTAGCTCCAATGGTAACAAGAAAAATAACGGTACTGAGAGACCCAATCCCACCAGAGGAATTGCTTATTCCATCTCTTCGTCGCCAGGTGTGAATATTGATTCCATGTGTAACTTGTAGGAGATTGATTATGGCCACTCCATGACTGAAATGGTTGGGATAATTGAAGGATGTAGTGAATGGCCCTTGGATCTTTGGAGAAAAAAAAATGTTTGAATAGCATCGAAGATATCCGTTTCCACTTTCTTTGACCTCCTAAGTGTCACTTTGACAGTTGGCGTACCATCACAATGTCGACTAGATCCACCTTGGCTGATGAGAACATCTACTTTTTGCGGGCAGTCATCATCCTTGCATATTTCATATTTATCGACATCTTTACATAGGGGCTCAATTAAGCTAATTCCCCATTCAAGAAATAGATGGCTGGCAGTTTGAAGCGAGTAAATGGTAAGCTCTTGCTAGCGAGTACTCACTTAATGTAACACCACACTTACCCACTCGCTGGCGAGTACTCACTAGCGAATACTCGCCAGCGAATATAAATGATATATAAAATAAATCTCTTCTTTTCTTCACGTGCTATGCGGGCCGGATGAAGTCCTGCCTGCGAGCCATAGGTTGTCGATCCCTGCTCCTAGGAGATCGTTCCCCGCCCCTTCATCCTGGCACTGTCCCTCCCACCCCCTCCCCTTTCGCCTCACCGACCTCTTCCCAGTCTGTAAATCCTCTTCATGCAATTAAATTCCTTATTCGTTTCATACAAAATATTATTGCAGTATTTAACTATGTTGCTTCGAGAAAATATTGTATTTTTTTCCGACATGAACATCGAATCCTTACTCATTAGTCATTTAAGAATTCTCGATGTCATCGTCGCATCGTTGCTCTATCAAATTGCTTTTTCTCAGTGGTAGCAGACGTCAAAATTTATTTAAGAGTCAAACTTCGAAATTTATTAAGAAATTCAGGTACTTTTGAATTTTTGAAAGAGTTCCAATGGCTCAGGAAGAGAAGGTAAGGTTAGGTAGGGTGAGGGAAAGGTAATGCATAAAAAGATGGAGTCAAATAACTTCAAACAGAGCATTTTTGAAATTCTGTTAACCGCACACTGAATTTCCCCTCTTTAAATTATCTGAAGAAACGTGAAAGTTCGAACCCCCTTCATGCCTCTACGAACGAAATTCCATAGAACTGCCACAATGTGATTCCATAATTGTTCTCCATTCGATTAAATGTGATTCGCCTTGTTGATAGATGAGCGTGGTATCGATGGACTGGGTCAAAGAAAAATGGCGTCTGGCGCAAGAAGAGAAGGAAAAGAAGAAAGCCAAGAAGGAAATAACATTCAAGGAAATGACTCCTCAACAAATTGCCATTTTCATCGACGAAAAAAGCCGAATCTTCTTCCCCATCTGCTTCATTATCTTCTGCATTCTTTACTGGACCCTTATCATCATTCTCTGAAATAATCCATTGCGCACAATTATTCCCTCTCATACAAATAATATGAGCTGCAAATGATATAAACTGAGGAGGAGAGTGTCTCGGCTGCCCCAGTATACTCTGTATTTCTGACGGTTCTTGGCAACTCGGTTGCTACACGTCTTGCCTATTCTCTTCGATGTCTTTGTTCAGTTCAGGAAAATTTTTTTAATTAAAAAAGACGATGCCCTCATTCTGTCTCAGTCCTTAGATCAATTTGTTAATGTCAAGTAGAGATGCTCGTGAAAGCATGAAGTCATGAGAGATTCCCCGAACACGACAGCAAGATGGCGCGATTTCAAGAGGAAGATCGTTAGCGATCAAATCTGCTGCTTCCCTCGTTGCCTGCTTCAGGATGGTAACAAGAATTACGACCACATCCATCGTCATTTTTGAATTACGACCACATACATTGTCATTGTTGAATTACGACCACATCCATTGTGACTGTTGACTGTGGCGAAGATAGGGATACGGATGTAGTTTTATCGCTTGGACATTGCCACACTATAAGACAAAAATATCCTTGCAAGAGCAGCATTGCCTTTTTATGATAGCGTATGGTGCTGGTATGTATGAGAGCCTAAGTTTTATGTTACCGATCACTCGAAGAAAAATAAAACTCTTCCCCGCTCAGGGCAATCCGTTATGAAACAAAATACTTTCAGATTTCAGGCTTATTGCCAGTTTTCACGTTCTAACGATGAATGTACCCTTTTTTCTTCTCAATCCCTTTCTCTAAGGATGATCATCTTCGCTGCCATTGAATTATCGTTTCCTGGGTATCGCAGCTGAAAATTGACAGTGAAGGAATTTATTTCTTTTACCGGCGGTGAAGCCTTGGTAAGCATCACCAGTCTCATCGTTCGAAATTCCTGCCTGACAGCTTTAGTCAAATGACTCCACCGTTTTCTTACCAAAGTAAGGAATGAATTCTCCTTGTTCCTACAGATCTTACAGCTTCGAGCAACTTAAATGTTTTACTATCTATAGTAGTAAATGAAGGTGAGAGGCCACTCATTCAATCCAAAAAAAGAGAAGGGAATCAATGGGCGCGGTAGCGCCCATTACCTTTCTTCAACCCCTTCCGGCAACAAAATTCAACCGTCTCGTATTCCTCTCTGAGAATATCAACAAGAACGAAATTTGGCATACTTCTTCCTCTTTCAACACAGAATCGATCCAGCAAATTTGAAGCTCCATCTCCCCGGGGTTGCGGAGACCACTGAATCTCGCTTTCGGGAGATGAGAATTTCGTTCCGGGTTTTTTTTTTCTGCCCCCCTTGGTAGCCGCTCCTGGGAAGTTTTTGGGAGGAAAAAGACCAACCAAACAATCGACCTGTAGGTGACAAAAAGTGTCCCATTTCGCCATGAAAAATGAAATTAGATGCCGTAAATTTAGGCTTGGCGCGATGAGTCCAGTCCCGTCCTCCAGTGTTGCCGGATATCGTGCCTTAGTTGTGCCAGATTCATGACTTCTTCCATCTTAGTATCGTTATCTGGATCTTCTCTTTTTTTTTTAGGAGGCATTATTGTGCTAACTTCATGGGATGAACTGAGATTGAAGCGATGGTTAGCAGTGGCCGATGAATTTGGTGGAATACGGAGATATCTCATCGAACATCCCTAAATTAACATGATGGCACCCAGCTCGTGTGTCATGCTTTCTAAAGGTACTTTCTTCTCAGAACGTGTCGAGACGATTCGAGGAACTCTAGATAGGCCTAATGTTCCCCGACCGCGCTGGAATATGCGAAAAAAAACTCCTATTGAAGAAATGCCCACAGGAAAAAATCCCCACGGAAAAAGTGTCCATACCTGCGAAGTGCGAAAAAAATGCCCACTTGATTTTTTTCTGGTTTTTATTTTTATTTTTATTTGAATGAACCACTTGTTGCTGTTCGCCAAAAGTTGCAGGCACTGATTTGACCCAAAGGCAATGATCCATGAGTCAGCGTCTGGACCATTGTCATAGAAAAGGAATGGTTGCGGATTTGAGCCACCCTTTGTTGCCCACATGCCTTCAATATGAAGATCCTTCAGAGATGTTAGNATGGTTGCGGATTTGAGCCACCCGTTGTTGCCCACATGCCTTCAATATGAAGATCCTTCAGAGATGTTAGTTAAGCCGGGAAGAAAGAGCTGCGTTGATTTTGCAGAGTTCGTTTGATGGATGCCTCTGATGGCAAAAGTTCACGAGCATCGTCATCCAAATGCGTCATGGCTTGCGAGTAGATAACACCTGACTTGTTACACGTCTTGGCCGCCCGCTGCTTCATGGAGACACGACATTTGTTGATCTTGATAGCTGTCGTGTCTGGAGTATGGTTATGTGCTGCTCCTGGACAGGGATTGGTGCAGTCGGCGTCCGTGAGCAAAATTCCCCCACAAGATAGGGACCGCAGGGCACAGCGCCACCAAATTTTGTCGTTCTTCTGGGAGTGCTTCATATACATGAAGCCTTCGAAGATAATTTTCCGTCCGCCTTTCTGGTTCAAGATGAACTCCATGGTTACTTGAAGTGAAATGAATAGACTTAAGACACTATTTATATATAATCCGTTTGAAGATACTTCGAACATGAATGGCATCATGATCTCCTCATACTTCACAGGGAGTAGGAGGAAATTGTCAATCAAGAGTTGTCAGTGTCTTGTCTAAAACAATGTTCAAAGATTTTTTCTCATGATCCTCTGTATGGAGCTCATATTTCTGCCTTCCTCGGGATCAATACGCCCCTACCTCCACGATAATTGTAGGCAACCGGACCTTCTCATGTAAAAAACTTGGCATGTCACACTTCAATGACTCCATTGCTATTGAAATCGGTCCAAAGGACAGGCGAATTAGCAGCAAAATCCCACGCACCAGATCTTATCTCAAGTGACTTTTTTCTCACGTTTTCCTTTGCATTCCCGGAAATAATACTCCTTTCGTTGATCCAACGTTGAAGTGTTCTGGAATCTTGGGAATTTTCTTCATATTCATGCTTTATTACGTTGATAGATGTGATATGTTTAATGTATTCATTGGTTATATATCACGTTTGGAAAATTAAACTGCATTCGTTTTTACAAATAAAAAAGAAGCCGCAAGAGATATTATTTCTTCATATTCATGATTTATTACGTTGATAGATGTGATATATTTAATGTATTCAATGGTTATATATCACGTTTGGAAAATTAAACTGCATTCGTTTTTACAAATAAAAAAGAAGCCGCAAGAGATATTTGAAAATACGCATGTGGGCATTTTTTCGTACTTTGCAGGTATGGGCGTTTATTCTGTGGGCATTTTTTATTGTGGGTGTTTTTACTGTGGGCATTATTTCCGTGGGAATTTTTTCAGTGGGCGTTTTTTGGGGGCACCGTTAGCAGTGAGCCTTTTTCTACAGGACAAGTTTTTTTTCATTAAAAAAAGTAATATGCGGGATCTCAAAATTCGGTTTTTTGAGTTGTGATGGTCTCAAATTGGGAAGGCGAAGTATATTATAATTGTTATATTATTATGTATATGAACTTTTCTTCCAGTCGATTTCTTTGAATTTCCACCCCAGGAATTATTTCACCTCTACGCGTTCCTTTTAATTAATTAATTTCTCTCAACGGCCAAACTCCCTTCGAATTGGAAAACCGCTAATGTCGTGTCCATCTACGATTCTGATTCCAAAAACCTTCAAAAGTTAAAAAAAATTTAGCTCTCGCCGCAAACATCTGTAAAGTTATGGAAAAAAATCAACCATCTGTTTGGTTTCCCATTCCCCTGTTCATTCATATGCGATAAATTATACTTTCTTCACGGCCTCTGTAATCCACTTTGGGAATCTTCGCTCTTGTAATGACTTTTGCCTGAAACACCCTTTACCTAAAATACCTTTTGCATAAAATATGGGTAGCTCTGGATAAATGCTCGTAGTCAGTCCATCCCAGCTCTTAAAATGTTAAAGTTTTGGAATGAACTTCACCTATCTGATATTTAAGTCTCCCCTCACGCAATCAACTCTTTAAACATTTTTAACCCTTATCCTGGCAAGGTATTTTTGTGACACAAACAGGCAAGGCCAAACATTTTTAGAATTTTCTTCCTTAAAAGCAAATCCAAACTTTAAAAGTTCGTTTCTGAATCTATGGATGACTGTCAATGAAACCCATATCAAATTTGAAGAATATTTTGAAAAATTTGCAGAGAGTAATGAAATGAAATATACCCTGGGGAGTCCAATGGACTCCCCTTGCCCGGATAAGGGTTAAAGGAATTTTCCTGGTCATTTTAATCCTGTGATCTCCTTAAGCGATTTTTTTTTTAGAACTATATTTTTTTATTGTAAATGTCTAGGTCAGGGTGATCCCTTTAATTTATTCTTATTTGGATTCTTTTCGATATGCATTCGTATCTCATTTCTTCCTTCTTAATTTTACATTCCTGCACCTCTCTTCCTTTCGAAAGGGTTTTCCCACATGGAAAGGATTTGTCCCATTCCTTCACTTGGGGATTAAGATGCGAACATGAATATGAAAGCACCCGAAAAGCTCTTTCCTTATTTTTAAGGTCACCTTCGATCAAAAAGCCAGTGAGTCATCTTATGGAGGTCCTTGACCTTTGACCTGGTCGGGCTTTCTTACTCGAATTCAAATGAAATTTAAAATCGCCAAAAATAAGTATGGTTCTTGCAGAACATTGCAAAGGTTTTCAGGATGGCGTTTTCTACCGTTCCCGAGCAATTGTGTCCAAGGAAACGATATGACTGCTAAGTACCGGTAGAGGAACGAGAAGTTAACGAAGTAACGAAGTTAACGAAGTATCGAAGTTAACGTCCGCGGCTGTCATTGACCGTTGAGTTTATACCTTCGCGTGAAGCACCAGCATAATTGCAGGGATTTCATGAACCTTAAGTGATGCCGTTTCAAAGAATGGACAGTATGGGGTGGGCACGACGTCCGTCGTGCTTCGTGCCACCAATGCAAAGTCGTTGATGGCTGCAACACCTTCGTCGAAGAAGGGTGATCGACTTTTCTCGGTGGACCTTATAGGGAACTATTGCAATTATTGCTTCGTTGTTGAGCTTATGATCATGCGCCCACACTGCTGCGATGAATCTCTCCTTGATCCATTCTCGGTCTTGATCCATTCTTGGTCGAGCGTTCGTAGTGTGAGGACGTGGTGGAGGATACTCTCGAGGTTCTGTCAGCTAAGTCGTGAGTTAGTTGTTCCCTGGCTACTTTGTAGCAGTATTCATAAGTTTT